GTGGCAGCACACCGTTGCCGATTTCGCTTGCTGTACTTTTGTTCTCTTCCTTCCTCCTTCCTTGTCCTGATTTTGCTTCCCTGGTTTCTTCTCTTGAGCATCCCTCGCTCAGACGGCTTCTGCCTCTACGGCTGCGTGGCGGTGCTGTTCCTCCTGGCCTTCAACGAGTTGGCCTGGCTCAGCGTGACGCCCACCGAGCCCACCGAGGCGCAAGCGGAGAAGAGCCTCCAGGACCGTCGGCCGGCCAGGGAGGCGGTGGACCATTGAAACTAAGCAAGTTGATGTTGAAGCTGCTCCGATCTGGTTCAAGGGAAGCCCAAAGGAGGCTGTTTCAACAACTGTGCTGATTGGCGCAACCCTGTTGACCAAATTGGTGTACTCCCCGCCTGAACTTCAATGTGCCGCAAAATTGTTCCAAACTCCGCATTCCAAATGGCAGCTTTAGTTGTGGTGCACCTTTGAAAATCATCCAAAAGGTGTTCACCATTGCAACATGCACAAGTTTTAATGTTCTATTAGTCCTTTGAGTTTTCCAACCCTGGCCGAACCCTCACCGGGGTGAGTCCCACAGCTTCGGAGTGTGGCATTTGTAGGAGACAGGTCTCTCAAACCGTTTGCCTTTCGAATTTGGAAGTTGAGAGATGTCGAGATGCAGTACATTTTCGTGAGCCTCCACTACGCGCGCTCGCTGCTGGGTGACCATTCCACGCTGGATTTGATCTCTACCAGCTCGTGGCCGGCGCATTTATCCTCTGCCATCACTGACCTCTTCGTGAAAGCGGAGGATCGCGCATCTCCGCGTCTCGCCTTTTTTTTCCGTATCGTTTGCGCCGTGCCTCGGAGGCCTTGGTGACAGGCGCGTGCCACGTTTGTTGCTGAAGGGGGAGCTGGGGCCCCACGCCATCCGCAGGCCCGACGCTGCCAGTAGAGAAAACAACGTCGCAACCTCAGAATGCGGAAAGGGGATGGTTCCTTTGCCTCACAAGAGTCTGACCGTCGGTGTCTCGGTGGCGCTGTCCCACAAACCTGTCAGAGTGAGGTGGTGCAGGAACCTCCTTTGGTGGCTTTCCAAGAACTCCCACCCATGGTGCCCAATTTGCAAGCCCAATCAGGCATGCGCTGACACGACTTTTTCGGTGCACTGTTGCGTGCTATGCAACAGAGGTCATAGGCACAGTGTTTGCCTGAGGCGAGGCACAGCTTTCGCAGCCCTGAGGTGGTCTTCCTTGGAATTGGCGAGGGCTTGGCAGCCCTGCGATCCGCTTTTGCACCAGGCCGGTTTGTGTTGCTTCTTATTTGGCTCACAGACACCCGCTTAGCTGCAGGGGTGCTTCACGCACCCTGGAGGCGCTGCAATCACACATGGCAAAGCATGCATCGATTTGGCAGGTGCCGTGAAGCACCAACGAGCAAACGGGGCTCCTTTGGTCATGCTCCTGCTTGGCGAGCACGCGCCGTTTGCAAACACGGCCACTTTCTAAGTGAGCACCCAAAGCCCTGTTGACCATTTTGATATTGGCTTCTACTACATGACCATCTTGGCATGCCGGAAGTCATTAGGTTTTGCGTTCTGCGAGGTTGGCAGCAATTGCTAGAGTTCTGCGCCCACTCCTCAAAGTGGAACCAAGGTCTGGCTATGCGTCCAGTCGGCTGCCATTGCCAGCTCACCAAGTATCCACTATATCAGCTACTACTGCAGCATGACTGCCATGACTTGTCATGGTTTGTGCACTGGAGGCCCTGAGCATGTCTCTGCGCCCGATCTTCGTGGGCACTTTTTACGGCTGCAAAGGACAGGGCCCTGTGTGACCGATGCACATTCGTTTTGTGGGGATGTTTTGTGAGGACTGCCAAGTGGCTGTGAGAATGATGCCGCGAAGGACTGGTTCAGGGCATGGATGAAGAGGCCTACAGCTTGGAATTTGTACAGATCCTCAGTGAGCCTCGCAGGTGGCCACTGAGTGAAGGAGATGCCCTGCAGGCCCACGAGATGAAAAACCGAGAGAAAGAGAGACAGGGAGTGAGCGCCAGCGAGCCTCAGGTGGGCGATATTGGCAAGGAAGCCGCGAGTCTTGTACACGCCATCCACCAGCACCCGGACCCAGATGCCGCGTGGCAAACTCCATGCCTAGCGTAGAGACGCTGAAGGGTGTCGGTTGCTTGAAGTGGATCTGAGGCAGGCCGCCCGGACTTCATTCTTTGCGGGGACACAGTCCTCTTCTGCTGGCTTTTGCGCCAAGCCCAGATGTTCCGCCATGTCCCCGCGTCCTGCCCTGAGACCTGCCTTGAGTTCTGGTGATTGCTTGAGTGTGTGGGTGCCCGACCAGGTTGCACATGTATGGCATGGTCTTCCTGCAGTACGTCCCCTTTGCCTGGCGTCGGCACATGCTGCAGGCGCACATTGTGCCGGGAGTCGGGGCATGGTGTGTGGGGAGGGTATCGGGTATAGGCGGCATAGGGGAGGGATGGGGAGGGATGGGGAGGGTGTGTTGAATGCATCCCAGGACTTTGGGCACTGGTGGACGCAAGAGCGAGACGACTCTCAGCCTGCTGGAGTCCAAATCGAGGCCTGACCCCTATGGGCGTTGGGTGAGGATGAGTGGACCAAGTGTCAAGCAAACTGCTGTGAAGGTGCTGAGCCTTCAACTCCAATGGCAGATGGGCATTGCCCTGCCTTTCGTGCCAAGTGCTGGCACGTCAGATGCTGCGGGAGTCCTCTACCAATCAAAACCAGGTGGCTGGCCGTTTTGGTGGAACTGAACTCGCCTTTGTCCGAATGCGCGGCATACATCCACTTGCACAAGCTGAGCAGGACAGCGCTCCGTGCTAGTGCTGAAGAGCGGCTTCTTTGCCCTGGCGCCGGGTCAGGTCTTCAGCGCGGCTCCTTGGCTCGCACTCCGCGTGCTGTCGCTCGGTGCTCAGTCATCACGCGCCGCCCGCGAGGTCCTGCGACGCCTTGGGGACGAGAGCGGCATTCGTTGGAATCACTGGGGCTTCGAGAGCCGCGAATTCCTGAACTTCGCTGCCATGGCCTCACACTCCTGCGCACTCTATGTGGCGCCAGAGTTCTCACAGTTGCTCTTGCGAGACTCTTGGATTAGGATAACCATGAGAGCCACGATTGCCGTTTGCCCTTTGAAGCCTTTGAACTTCCCACTTCTCTGAGCTGAGGACGTGTATGGCATCGGCTTGCCAATGTTCGCGCCGACTTTCGCGTGGCACCTTCGCCTGCTGCAACACATGTTTGCCTCCTGGGGCCAGCTGCACACCGAGCATGACATTGGCAGAAGGCAGCGATGTCGGGTCTAGGAACATCGCACCTTGAATGTTTCTAAGCACGGGACTAATTGAACCGTTGGTTGCCTCTTGGTTTCTCTGAAATGCCAACCAAAGTGAGGCTCTGTTCTGAACGCACGATGTGACGTTTTCAGGTGGGAAGACAAGCTGGAGCAGAAGGACTGAATTCATGCTTTGCAGTTCCCTAGGAACACTAGCGTGTAAGTAGCAAGCCCGTTCAAGTGCAGGTCTAATTCGGATGATCCCATCTCAAGTCTTACGATACCGTCCCTTATGTTTGCGAGTATCCTAAGTATCATAAGTGTCAGACATATTTCAATCATGCCTCATACTTGTATCGCCTATTGCGAGTTTCCCCTCAGCTTCCCGAGGCATCCAGAAAACGGGTGCAAATTGGAAAGAGCGTGCCAGGAGGGCCCCGGAATCTTCCAGGCGGATCTCTGGCCCTTCGGGCCCTTCTACAACCCCGCGGAGCACACGCCTGAACATCTCGCCTTCTGGATGCCCCTGGCCGAAGCGGCTTGATCCAACACCTTCCGTTTGATAACGAGACCGCTGCCAGGGAAGTCACAAGAGGGCCTCTTTTACAGGGAAATAGTCCTGCAGAACTCCCTTGTCAGCTTCCATGTTGATGGGGACGGGAGTTGTGAGCGAAGCTTCAGAATCTAAGGTTCATCGATATCCCCACATGTTGTACTTCGCGTCTCTGACGGAGCTGTTGCACTCCATCGAGACAGTTGATCTGGGGCTTCAGAGCCTGCGTATGCAGGCACTGATCCTGGAAACTCACACGGTCAGCACCGGTCAGACGGGCTTTGTCTCCCTCTCATTGTTGCGCAATGTTGAACTTAGATTGCTTTAGATCTGACTAGATTTGGGAGTTGTCATTTTCGTGAGTTGCCCTGAAAGCGCACATGGGGCTTGCTTGCTGACTGGCACACTGGCCAGGAGCAGAATCGAATCATTGCGGCAAATGTCCGGAGGTTCTACCGGCAAGCACTTCAGCAAATGCTTCGTTAGCACCTGGGCTTGGAGAGTGCGGGGAGACCTCTCATTGCAGCGCTGGGGGGTTGGAGATGGAGACCTTCTCGGCCCATGCACTTCTTTGGGCGCTTTGCGCAAGTTCTAATGCCTCGGGCGATGTATCCGGAAGCTGCTGGATGGCGTGCAAGTGGGTGCTCGGACATGTTTGGAGCCTCGGACGCAATTGCGCGCTTGTTGCACTGAGGTGAATCCAGCCGTGCGTTGAACACAATCTGTGTTTAAGACATGGTCAACGGGAGGTTGGCCAAGACAGCTGGTCAGCCACGCTTGATGAGAACAATACTCTCATTTGGATGATCACTGGACAGTTTGCTTGGTGTGTCTTTAGTGTAAATTTTAATCATCCCAGGATCTATTGTCCCTGTAGGCCTTTGATTTGTTTAGCTCGAAATCATTGGCTGGTGGCCTCCAAGTGTGCGTGGCACAAGACCTGCTTGTGCATCAAGTAAGCGCCTTGGAATTCTGCGATCAAGGAACTGGAAGGTGTGCTCAGCATTGCGAGCCGAGAGATTTGCATAGGCAGGCACTGCCTGCCATGTCACAACTTCCGTGTGTGCGGTGGGAAACAAATGGCAAAGTGCTAAAACAGCGAGCGCGCTCCCCGTTGCAGTGCCTGGATCAAGCAACCTGAAACCTTGAAAGGCTCCTTTCATTGCCATGGCCCAGTATGCCCCGAAGAACAGCGTTGGTGCCACCTGCCCTTGGGGCAGTGCCTGGGGCAGCAGTCCCAGCGGTGTGACGGACGCCTTCACCCTGGCGGAGATGAAGGCCGCGCGCAAGCGAGGCGGAGAGCCCGCGCCTGCCTCGGAAGCTCCAGCTCCGGTGCCGGGGGCCGTCGACGAGCCGGGCACGGCTCGCACAGAGGTGAGCGCCCGGTCCGCGGTCTCGCGTGTGTCAAAAGCCTCGGGCAAAACCCAGGATCTGGAGGCCAAGATGATGAACTTAATCACGAAGTGCGTGGAGAAGAAGGTGGAGGAGTTGACGGAGACCATGAAGACCCCTGTGTCGTCGCCGGCGTCGCCAGAGCGGCTCAGAGAGCTGAGGACTTCGCGCTCCGCAGAGAGCGTGCGGTCCGCGCGATCTGCCGCGAGCTCGGTGGTTCCGTCCGAGGCGCCGTCTTGCGCGGAGCTAAAAGCGAACCTTCGAGCCGTGGAGGAGCCAAAGGCCGTGACCATGGTGGGCAAGAAGAAGCAAGCGGAGAAGCTTTCGGATGCCTCGCTGGGCAAGTTTGATGCCGAGGAGTCGCGGCGGGCCTTCCTGGAGATGCAGACCAGCGCGGCCGCGGCCCGCAACAAGAACCGGTCCGCCTTGACCTTCGACGACGAGCCCGAGAAGAAGCCAGAGAAGGAGCGGAAGCCAGAGAAGAAGGGATACCCAGCGCTGCTCAAGCAGGTGAACAGCCTGGCTGAGGCGCCTGAGCCTCTGAGCATGTATGGCAAGCAGAAGCGGAAGGAGAAGCTTTCTGAGGCCACGCTGGGGAAGTTCGACGGGGACAAGTCCAAGGCCGCCTACGAGGACATGCAGAGGACCGCCGAGCTGATGCGGAACAAGAACCGTATGGGGCAGGGCATCTTCTGAGCTTCAGCCTTTGAGCTTCAGCCTTTGAACGAGGCCGTGGTGACACGTCCAGCACTTGCCTCGCAGAAATGTTTGCTTTGTCCACAGAGCATTACTGTGGCCAAAGCGGACAGAGGAGAGTGGCCGACATTTTTTTGCTCGAGTTGCCGGACAGGCTCTTGCGAGCTTGCGCATGTATAGTCAGATGTCAGCACACTAGCTGCGCCAACTGCGCATCCGCTCCTACAAATGGAGGGGCAGGCGCAGAAAACCAGGTCAGAGGACTTGGTTCCTGTAGATTGCAGCACTGGACTGTTGAGAAATGGTGGACTTATGAGGCAGTCGGACTAGGATTCTGCAGGATTGACACATGCAAGGAGCTGTGTTGTCTGCCTGCTCTGGTCGTTGGATAAGCACACAAAGGTTCCCACAACAGCGGTCACTTATATGACGCCGGTCTAGACAGCGGAGCCTTAGGCCAGAATTCGAGCTGAAGAACAGACTCATGCTTTGTGTGGGCTGGCTTGTTTGATGTATGTAATCGCTTCATTGATTCCTGGGGGGGTGTCTTGTGCACCAAGGTTGCATTCTTGTGCGAACGGTTGCTCTGGCTTTCAGCCGCAATTACTTGCCCTCTACAGAGTTTGTGGAGCCATGGTTGTGCTTGCTTCCAGCAACAGTGCTTGGGGCAGCAGTTCCTGGAACAGCGTTGGTGCCACCTGCCCTTGGGGCAGTGCCTGGGGCAGCAGTCCCAGCGGTGTGACGGACGCCTTCACCCTGGCGGAGATGAAGGCCGCGCGCAAGCGAGGCGGAGAGCCCGCGCCTGCCTCGGAAGCTCCAGCTCCGGTGCCGGGGGCCGTCGACGAGCCGGGCACGGCTCGCACAGAGGTGAGCGCCCGGTCCGCGGTCTCGCGTGTGTCAAAAGCCTCGGGCAAAACCCAGGATTTGGAAGCCAAGATGATGAACTTAATCACGAAGTGCGTGGAGAAGAAGGTGGAGGAGTTGACGGAAACCATGAAGACCCCTGTGTCGTCGCCGGCGTCGCCAGAGCGGCTCAGAGAGCTGAGGACTTCGCGCTCCGCAGAGAGCGTGCGGTCCGCGCGATCTGCCGCGAGCTCGGTGGTTCCGTCCGAGGCGCCGTCTTGCGCGGAGCTAAAAGCGAACCTTCGAGCTGTGGAGGAGCCAAAGGCCGTGACCATGGTGGGCAAGAAGAAGCAAGCGGAGAAGCTTTCGGATGCCTCGCTGGGCAAGTTTGATGCCGAGGAGTCGCGGCGGGCCTTCCTGGAGATGCAGACCAGCGCGGCCGCGGCCCGCAACAAGAACCGGTCCGCCTTGACCTTCGACGACGAGCCCGAGAAGAAGCCAGAGAAGGAGCGGAAGCCAGAGAAGAAAGGATACCCAGCGCTGCTCAAGCAGGTGAACAGCCTGGCTGAGGCGCCTGAGCCTCTGAGCATGTATGGCAAGCAGAAGCGGAAGGAGAAGCTTTCTGAGGCCACGCTGGGGAAGTTCGACGGGGACAAGTCCAAGGCCGCCTACGAGGACATGCAGAGGACCGCCGAGCTGATGCGGAACAAGAACCGTATGGGGCAGGGCATCTTCTGAGCTTCAGCCTTTGAGCTTCAGCCTTTGAACGAGGCCGTGGTGACACGTCCAGCACTTGCCTCGCAGAAATGTTTGCTTTGTCCACAGAGCATTACTGTGGCCAAAGCGGACAGAGGAGAGTGGCCGACATTTTTTTGCTCGAGTTGCCGGACAGGCTCTTGCGAGCTTGCGCATGTATAGTCAGATGTCAGCACACTAGCTGCGCCAACTGCGCATCCGCTCCTACAAATGGAGGGGCAGGCGCAGAAAACCAGGTCAGAGGACTTGGTTCCTGTAGATTGCAGCACTGGACTGTTGAGAAATGGTGGACTTATGAGGCAGTCGGACTAGGATTCTGCAGGATTGACACATGCAAGGAACTGTGTTGTCTGCCTGCTCTGGTCGTTGGATAAGCACACAAAGGTTCCCACAACAGCGGTCACTTATATGTCGCCGGTCTAGACAGCGGAGCCTTAGGCCAGAATTCGAGCTGAAGAACAGACTCATGCTTTGTGTTGGTTGGCTTGCCGAACTTTGGTTCCATGTTAGAAAGCAGCAATCCAGTGGCAGTCCAGCATGTGCAGCCTTTGGTTAAACCGCTTCATTGATTTCTGGGGGGTGTCTTGCGCAGCTTGGGATGTTTTGATTTGGTCGGGTTTATTTTTCGACGAGTTCGCGTTGAAATAAGTGGCTGTGAGTGATTGCAGGCAGACGAGAGCGGAGCGCGTGCTGAAAGCTCAGAGCCACAAATTGAGAGGCAGTGCCCACTGGTCCACTTGGATGTGCTGAGTTCTGAGTTTAGGCAGCGCAACCTCTTGGTCAAGGAGTAGAGACCTGGTTGCTCCTGTGAGGTGAGAAGCAGGGCTGAATTTCAGCCTCACCGGCAGCAGGCGGGCTCTGACCGACGCACAACAATCGGTTGCGTGGGCCTTTGTGAGTAATGGTCGAGCTGGCTTCCAGGATTTTCTTGCTCCAGAGTGTCTGGATCAAGCAACCTGGGACCTTGAACGACTCCTTTCATTGCCATGGCCCAGTACGCCCCCAAGAACAGCGTTGGTGCCACCTGCCCTTGGGGCAGTGCCTGGGGCAGCGGTCCCAGCGGTGTAACGGATGCCTTCACCCTGGCGGAGATGAAGGCCGCGCGTAAGCGAGGCGGAGAGCCCGCGCCTGCCTCGGAAGCTCCAGCTCCGGTGCCGGGGGCCGTCGACGAGCCGGGCACGGCTCGCACAGAGGTGAGCGCCCGGTCCGCGGTCTCGCGTGTGTCAAAAGCCTCGGGCAAAACCCAGGATTTGGAAGCCAAGATGATGAACTTAATCACGAAGTGCGTGGAGAAGAAGGTGGAGGAGTTGACGGAAACCATGAAGACCCCTGTGTCGTCGCCGGCGTCGCCAGAGCGGCTCAGAGAGCTGAGGACTTCGCGCTCCGCAGAGAGCGTGCGGTCCGCGCGATCTGCCGCGAGCTCGGTGGTTCCGTCCGAGGCGCCGTCTTGCGCGGAGCTAAAAGCGAACCTTCGAGCTGTGGAGGAGCCAAAGGCCGTGACCATGGTGGGCAAGAAGAAGCAAGCGGAGAAGCTTTCGGATGCCTCGCTGGGCAAGTTTGATGCCGAGGAGTCGCGGCGGGCCTTCCTGGAGATGCAGACCAGCGCGGCCGCGGCCCGCAACAAGAACCGGTCCGCCTTGACCTTCGACGACGAGCCCGAGAAGAAGCCAGAGAAGGAGCGGAAGCCAGAGAAGAAGGGATACCCAGCGCTGCTCAAGCAGGTGAACAGCCTGGCTGAGGCGCCTGAGCCTCTGAGCATGTATGGCAAGCAGAAGCGGAAGGAGAAGCTTTCTGAGGCCACGCTGGGGAAGTTCGACGGGGACAAGTCCAAGGCCGCCTACGAGGACATGCAGAGGACCGCCGAGCTGATGCGGAACAAGAACCGTATGGGGCAGGGCATCTTCTGAGCTTCAGCCTTTGAGCTTCAGCCTTTGAACGAGGCCGTGGTGACACGTCCAGCACTTGCCTCGCAGAAATGTTTGCTTTGTCCACAGAGCATTACTGTGGCCAAAGCGGACAGAGGAGAGTGGCCGACATTTTTTTGCTCGAGTTGCCGGACAGGCTCTTGCGAGCTTGCGCATGTATAGTCAGATGTCAGCACACTAGCTGCGCCAACTGCGCATCCGCTCCTACAAATGGAGGGGCAGGCGCAGAAAACCAGGTCAGAGGACTTGGTTCCTGTAGATTGCAGCACTGGACTGTTGAGAAATGGTGGACTTATGAGGCAGTCGGACTAGGATTCTGCAGGATTGACACATGCAAGGAGCTGTGTTGTCTGCCTGCTCTGGTCGTTGGATAAGCACACAAAGGTTCCCACAACAGCGGTCACTTATATGACGCCGGTCTAGACAGCGGAGCCTTAGGCCAGAATTCGAGCTGAAGAACAGACTCATGCTTTGTGTTGGTTGGCTTGCCGAACTTTGGTTCCATGTTAGAAAGCAGCAGTCCAGTGGCAGTCCAGCATGTGCAGCCTTTGGTTAAACCGCTTCATTGATTTCTGGGGGGTGTCTTGCGCAGCTTGGGATGTTTTGATTTGTTCGGGTTTATTTTTCGACGAGTTCGCGTTGAAATAAGTGGCTGTGAGTGATTGCAGGCAGACGAGCGCGGAGCGCGTGCTGAAAGCTCAGAGCCACAAATTGAGAGGCAGTGCCCACTGGTCCACTTGGATGTGCTGAGTTCTGAGTTTAGGCAGCGTAACCTCTTGGTCAAGGAGTAGAGACCTGGTTGCTCCTGTGAGGTGAGAAGCAGGGCTGAATTTCAGCCTCACCGGCAGCAGGCAGGCTCTGACCGACGCACAACAATCGGTTGCGTGGGCCTTTGTGAGTAATGGTCGAGCTGGCTTCCAGGATTTTCTTGCTCCAGAGTGTCTGGATCAAGCAACCTGGGACCTTGAACGACTTCTTTCATCGCCATGGCCCAGTACGCCCCCAAGAACAGCGTTGGTGCCACCTGCCCTTGGGGCAGTGCCTGGGGCAGCGGTCCCAGCGGTGTGACGGACGCCTTCACCCTGGCGGAGATGAAGGCCGCGCGCAAGCGAGGCGGAGAGCCCGCGCCTGCCTCGGAAGCTCCAGCTCCGGTGCCGGGGGCTGTCGACGAGCCGGGCACGGCTCGCACAGAGGTGAGCGCCCGGTCCGCGGTCTCGCGTGTGTCAAAAGCCTCGGGCAAAACCCAGGATCTGGAAGCCAAGATGATGAACTTAATCACGAAGTGCGTGGAGAAGAAGGTGGAGGAGTTGACGGAGACCATGAAGACCCGGGAGTCGTCAGTCCTTCGGAAGTCAAGGAACTCGCGATCTACGGAGAGCGTGCGGTTTTCAGAGCCCGCGCGATCTGCCGCGAGCTCGGTGGTTCCGTCCGAGGCGCCGTCTTGCGCGGAGCTAAAAGCGAACCTTCGAGCTGTGGAGGAGCCAAAGGCCGTGACCATGGTGGGCAAGAAGAAGCAAGCGGAGAAGCTTTCGGATGCCTCGCTGGGCAAGTTTGATGCCGAGGAGTCGCGGCGGGCCTTCCTGGAGATGCAGACCAGCGCGGCCGCGGCCCGCAACAAGAACCGGTCCGCCTTGACCTTCGACGACGAGCCCGAGAAGAAGCCAGAGAAGGAGCGGAAGCCAGAGAAGAAGGGATACCCAGCGCTGCTCAAGGAGGTGAACAGCCTGGCTGAGGCGCCTGAGCCTCTGAGCATGTATGGCAAGCAGAAGCGGAAGGAGAAGCTTTCTGAGGCCACGCTGGGGAAGTTCGACGGGGACAAGTCCAAGGCCGCCTACGAGGACATGCAGAGGACCGCCGAGCTGATGCGGAACAAGAACCGTATGGGGCAGGGCATCTTCTGAGCTCAAGCTGAAAGAGCTCGCTGCCTGCTCTTTGACTTCTATCAATGGTTTTATCTTTATAGCACCCAGCGCGGGTGCGGACTTTTCGTGCGCCAGTCTTGCTTGGGCTTTCGTTTTGCCCGCGGAACTCTGTGGCCAGAGCGGACGAAAGTGAGTCGCCAACATGATATGTAGAGTTTCGGGCGCCTTCCGCTTTAGAGACATCGGAATATCGAATGATATTCCGGCAGAGCATTAAGCTCCGCCATTTGCGCATCAACTCCTACAAATGGAGCGCACGAAGCCAGGACAGCGGACTTGGCTCCGTGTAGCGCTGAGCTTTGCCTGGAGGCCGCACTGCAAAAGGGGCAGAACTTGAGGACTTTGAGCCACATTTTCTCTTCAACCGGGGGGGTGGGCCATCTTTGGAATGCAGATATTTTGCAGTTGTTATACTGGCCGACGGCAAGTGGAGAAAGCAACTGACAACTTATTCTGAAGGCCTGCATCTCTGCCCCAGACCAACAAACTCCATTTGAGCTGCCACGGCTATGGCAAATTAAATTGTCGTCACTTTTGCCAACACGTTTGCCAACCATTGCCGCCAATTCCTTAGCCCCTACTTACTACCTCTCTCCGGCCCTGGAGAATCAAAACGCGATTTCCTTTGACTTGCCTACTGCAGTCCTGGGGTCCAATGAGGAAAGGACCTGAAAGAGTGGCAAGTCCGGATCATCGGGTAGTTGAGGTCTCAGGGGTACCCTCTCTTGCGCGTTGCATCCTACAAAGAGTTGCAGGTGTGCTGGCTGCCCAATGCGCGGACGAGACAGATGGCGGAAGGGCTGCATAGAGGCAGGGAGTCAAGAAGCGATTGAATCAGTTGACACCAACACTGGCCGCCACTCGGACGGACCTATGCTTTTGAGACACAACCGTGTGAGTGCACAGAGCTGTGTTTGTATTCATGACCCGAGATCGGAGAAAGAATTGGCACGGGCGTGCGCGTTTCCAGTGCGCAGAGTTTTGCTTCCAGGGACCTTGAAAGACTTCTTTCATCGCCATGGCCCAGTACGCCCCCAAGAACAGCATTGGTGCCACCTGCCCTTGGGGCAGTGCCTGGGGCAGCAGTCCCAGCGGTGTGACGGACGCCTTCACCCTTGCGGAGATTAAGGCCGCG